GTCTGAAGAAGGGTCTAGACCCGAAACGTCAGCCTTCCTACTCCTCTCATGCTGCTTGGCCTGCTGTGTTCATCCAGCTCTGCACCTTGTTATCTCTGCTCTTTTAATGATTTTCTTTCTAATTCACCAAGTTAAATTACAGTGTAATTAATTAAGATCATGTTATTCAGCATTCTACTACAAATGCACCAAATCCAAAATGTGTACATTCTGCACTCTGAGCATTCATTTAACAAGGTACACCTTATAAAATCATCAACTTAGACTTGTTGTTGAGGAGAACTTGAGCTTTTATTTGCAAAGCATCTGTTTTGGTCTACAGCTACACCCTGACGTGTGTTTTGTCTTATTTTCTAAGAAAATCTGATCATTCATTTTGCTGGAAAGAGAAACACCTTGACAAAGTTTCTTGTCTTGCACTCATCAGAACAAACACAAGAATGCCAAATTTCAAACAATCACAATAATTTGTACTTCAGGAGGAAAGGATGCCAATTTTTTCGGCAAATTGAGTCTTATTGAGACATTGCCATGAAGTATAAGTTGTTCTGATCATTTATCATGATGAGCGTAAGATGGAAAGCTCCACACCATAAATCTTGTAAGCAATGTTAAAATCATTGATGTTTTAAAAATCTAAATTTTAAATAGTACTTTGTCAAAATGAACTGTTGCTGTCATACCAAAAACATGCAAATCTCTATGCATTTTATATTCAAATGATATTGTTCCAGTGCAGACTAAGCATGTTTTGTAGGTGCGTTAACTTTGTCTTTTTTTTAATGTTAACATTTGCTGCTAATAATCAGTTACTGATTTGAAGAGCCTTTGTGTATATTTAGACTCCACCAATCAATTCTTTCGTTGGTTGTTTGACTTGTTGATGTGTGGGATGGACCAAAAATAAAACTGTGAAAAAGGCTTTGAGTTACTGGCTTCCTTATATTTCTTGTTCATAAGGTTGTTTGTCAGAGGGTGGTGGTGGGAGAGGTTGCAGAAGGACTTGGGCAAAAAGATGTACTTCAGCAATATCTGGATTCAGAATCTCTCTTTCCTTCCTTCCCTTACCATTTGCTAAACCTTTGACATAATAAATAAAAAAATTCACAATTAATCGAACATTCTTGCATTAAAAAGTTTGATTTTACTTCTTGTGCTTTCATTACTTTAAAGATTGCTAAATAATTTACGTTTTTCAGTATTATGCATTTGGAGACTGATTGGGTGGGCAAAGATGTTACTAGATACTTGGGGGTGTCATTTGCACATTTGGTCTTGCACATACTTCTATCCATCTAAAATGACTGAATTGATTGGTATTTGATGTTTATTGCAAGCATCTGTGGAGCTGTAATGGCAGTGAGAGAAAATTGCAAAACTAGACTGTTTATAAAGTTGTTGTTGTTTGTCTATTTGATTGCTGCATGCAATTTCTGAGTTTCCTTTGTGTATGTAGAAATTGAACTAGTTGCCAGATAATAAATGAATAAATCACACTGTGTTCTGCACTTGGCTAGTTTTTAGTTTGTTTTAATGTTGGGCCTCTGGGCTAAAAATCTGCAGCTGAGGATTACAAAGGCATCTCGTGTCTATGTGTCGTGTCATCAGAAATGTCATTGAAGGTAACAAATTATACATTTTGGATGTGGCTTGTTTAAAGGATTGGAAATAAAAAAATGGAAATTCTGTGTTGCAGATTGAATATTCTTTATTTCATAATACAAGTTTTTTCCATTTGCATGAGCTATCTTCTGTTCAGTTCTACAATATTCAGTATTTTTTAACTTCTTTGATCACAGTGAATTCTTTAGTATTTACAATCCAGTTTTAGTCAAAGGTGGGTAGGGATCCAATTTATTTTGTTCTAATATGTAAATCAAGCTACGGAGTTTCAACATTGCACTTATACATAGCACTTCTCATGACGGGCAAGCACACCAAAGCACTTTGAAGTCACCTGAGAGATAGTAAGAACTGCCGATGCTGGAGTCAGAGATAACACAGCGTGGAGCTGGAGGAACACAGCAGGCCAGGCAGCATCAGAGGAGCAGGAAAGCTGACGTTTCAGGTTGAGATCCTTTTTCTGAAGGGTCCTGACCTGAAACGTCAGCTTTCCTGCTCCTCTACTGCCTGGCCCGCTGTGCTCCTCCAGCTCCACACTGTGTTATTGCAGTCAACTGAAGTGTTTTACAAGTTTAACTGATGTTTTACCAGGTAGGAAACTTTGGCATAAAATTTCCACCCAGCCATGTGGTAATTGTAGCATAGAGGGAGTACATATATCAGTAGTTTGGTGTAATTCTGAAAATCGTCACATACTATCAAGACTCTCAGAGAGGAATAAACAACTGTACTAGAAATTTGTACTGCACTGATTCTATACGTTAATATCACGCAGTTTAGCAATGAAGAGAGGCTTGATAAGCTTGGGTTGTTTCCTTTAGAGCAGAGAAGGCTGAGAGGGTATCTGATTTAAGTGTGTAAGATTGAGGGGAATGGACAGGGTAAATAGAAAGCAGCTGTTCCTCTAGTTGAAGGGTCAGTAACAATGGGGCAGAATCTTACTCTCAAAGGTGGGAGATTTAGAGGGGATTTGTGGACTTATTTTCCACCGGGAGGGTGTTGACAATCTGGAATGCACTGCGTGAGAGAGTAGTAAAGGTGGGAAGCCTCACAACTTGGTATAGGAATTGAAATATCATAGCATTCATAGCCAAGGGCCAACTGCTGAAAAGTGGGACTAGTTTTATTAATCATTCCAGGCTCGATTGGCCGAAGGGCCTCTTCTGTACTTTATGATGATTCAATGATTTGATAAATATTTTAGTAAAGGCAGAGTTACATTCCCAACACTGGCTGTCATTCAAGGTGGTGACCTAGAATCATGTGCAGATGTGCACAGTGAGACTGTGTGACTTGATGTCGATTG